TTTTGTAAACGGGAATTAATAGGGGATATATTTATTCTTCCCACAAGACCTATCTCTAACCTTAACCTAAACTCAATTTACACCTTTTTCCTAAACCTTCCCATTTACAAAATGAAAGACGGGACTAGCAAACTGTCCTCACTTTGGTACAAATTGTCCTCAAGTTGATGGTAAAATCTGTAAAATGGTCCTCATTCTGATGCCAAAACAGGAGCACACAAACACTCCCACATAAAAATCTAAATATTATTAACATTTCTATGGTTAATGAGACCTTAAGCTTTCTGAACTAGGTTTTGATAGATGGAAAAGATGTTTATTTGTCTATGTTAGAAGAATAAAAAAAAAATCTTACAAGGGTTTGGGATCAATTCAGTTTTTTCATAACCATCTCCAGAGGAGGATTTATGCAAATTTTATATATTTACCAAGAAACATTGGAGAATTTATGAGTCAATACATATCCCCACAGGGGAAGCAAAACCCAAATGTTAGAGATGAATACATAAAAGGCGCATTTATTCACATTAAGTAAATTCACTTCCATTTTAAGACATAATGTAACCTTCAAACAGCACCTTCATGAAAAGATTCAAGTCGGTGTGTGAATATATCCTAGGGCACTGGACACTTGATGGACAGATCGACAGACTATTTTTTCTGAGCTGCTCAGCATCCTCGATGGCGTACATATAGCTGCCACTTGCGTAATATTACATAGTTCTACAATCTGTGATACAGTGAGTGCTGTGCTCCTGCACGTCGCACGGCCAAGACACGGTTCCAGGATCTGGCTTATATATGCCAGTCCGACCTGTGAAAACCTGTGTCGCTCATAAGTGTCATCGTGATCCAGAGGATCTTCTTACAATTTGAATTTTGATTTTGGTTTCACTTTTTTAAGCTTCATATATCAATCATACATAAAACAAGCTCTTTAAGGCCAACTGATAATTTTTCTCCTAGACACAATTTTTGGCCTCTGCAATTGCTTAGGCAGTAGCACACTTGGCCTTGAGTATCTGCTTGCAGTTTCAGGATTCCCACTAAGCAAGCATTCTTCAGCTTGACAGCATTCCTTACTGCCATTGTGTCCCACTGTGTTCAGGGGATGCCACCATGCAGGTCTCAGCAGGCCTTGCGGCCACAGCTACGGGAGACCGTGTTGACAATACAGGCAGAGAACATGGTCCACTCAGGCTCCAAGTCTCCAGTCTCCCCTGGAATCTGAGTGACGCTCTGCTGGAGGTGGGAGTTGAATCCATCCCTGACAGAGGGCTTGGCCAGATGTTACCAGCAGACCCTCATTAATCAGTATATCTTGCTTCATCCTCTTCCAGCATATCCAACTCACCTTCAGGTGGTGATTGATGGACAGCTCTGCCCCTCTCTTCCCTGGAATATCCAAGACATGCGGTCTATGTTCCAAAGATAGGATACACAAAATTAATTATCGACTTCCGGCCTAGGGTGTCCTGGTGCCAAGAGCACTGATGGATATTCATATGCTTGACCATGGTGTTCATTAAGGACAATACACGGCTTGCACAGAAGGCTAATAAAGAAAAAATATTTGGGTTCAGAGCTGTGGGTCCATTCCTCACAGTCAAGATCCTCCGGGTATCACTGTCGTTCTCAAAATAATATTGAAGAATATCTAATAATGGAATCCCTTAGAGCGCTGCTATTCAACACCCCTGCCAGGGACGCCAACAAAGCCTGATACACTGAACCCCTTCTCAGCCAATAGACCGAGATAACACTCAGACACTAAGACCTGCCCCCTATCTGAAGGCACAGGAATGCAACCCTCTCATCAATTAAGATAAGCTCCAACATAGGAGGGTTGCTCTGGAGGGAGACAAGTAGACCCCTCCCCATCCCCCCGCCTCTCTCTGTGAGCCACTCCAGAGTAGAAGAGAATGAGTTCGAGAGCAGATTTATGAGAACTCACCTTTCTTTACATAACATTAGATTCCTTTCCTGTTTCCTTTCTAGTACCCTACTCTCCTTTCTTGATTATTTCTCTGTGTCCTTTAATAGTTGCAGGCCCATCCTCAGCGTGTTGGCAGACAGTGATGAAGAATCCTCTAGTGCTGGTTCTTCTGATGAAGAGGAGCTGCTGCTCTCTGAGAATCACTGTCCAGTGGGGGAGAAAGGCTCGACAACAGCAAGCGAAGGGTAAACACAGCCTGCATATTACAGCTAATACAGATGTTCATACAGTAGTAGCCATTCAAAATTTCTGCACTTCCCTTGATTGGCCATTGGCTGGTCCTTGGTGGCTCTCCTACAATTCCTTTTTAAACTCAATCTTTGTACCAAAATATTCCTTCTATAATGATTTTTGGACATTAAGATCTTAAGAGAAGCATCTCCTGGTCAGACCTCGTAACTCAGCGAAAGAGTGGAGTCACAGTTCTCCTCACTTATTTTTTGGTTGAAGCTCTCCTTGTCTAGCCAGCGAGTTTACATGAATGTACATGTTTGCAGGTGTGCCACGCTATTTGGGTGACTTCCGAAGGGAATCAGCTGAATTGGATGTTTTTATTTCTGGGATTCAGAGTAAATGGAGCCGAACACAAATGCACTTCACATTTTCTCAGTTCCTATTTAACAAAAAGATGAATCCTCTTTCATTCCTCCTCACGCCTATGTCTTAAGGTTTATTGTTATAAGCTCGGAATGTAGGACCCAGAATTCAGGCGAGACAGACAATGTAATATCTATGTTTATTTATTACTCAGGAAGATCTGCAGATCTGCACCGGCCAGGGTGTCGGAAGCAGGAACGGCTATTAGAGAGAAATGGTCAAATCAGAACACAAAAGTATCGCTACAAAACTCTCTTCACCAAAGGCTCAATGATAATCTGATGCCGATGGCTGGGCAATGGGGAGCTTAAATGGGAAACCGGAACAGGTGGATCTGATCAGGGTACGAACAGGGAAGGGCTAGACAGGTAGGAAGGAAATGAGAAATAAAGCCAGCCATCAGCTTTAAAATCATGACATTTATTGTTAGTTTTTTTACTTTATTGATCTCACGTTGGAGAAATTTACCTTTGCACTTAACCCATCCCCTTGGGGAACAATGGGCTACCATTATGGGGTGCTGGGAAGCAATCTTAGGTTAAGGGCCTTGCTCAGAGACCCAGAGTGGCAGTCTGTGGGAGTGGTTTTTCGAGCTCACAACCTCAGGATACCAAGCTTTATGCCCCAACCACTAGGCCGTGATGGGACTCAATTTGGAGAATTGGTATCAATAATTTAGGAGGTTCTGAAATGTAAACATACATTTTTGGATTGGTTAATATATTATAAATAGCGAAATGTCTTATTCAAATGCAATATGAAGTTGGTCTTCTATTAATTAATATTTGTGTTTCAGAAGTAGAAAATAAACCATGCTGACATCAGTGTCCAGATGGTTCTTGAGTTCATTCACTGATCAGAGTCACATCTTTCCCCCAAACACTTCATTCCAGCATCTGAACACTGAAATCTGCTGCCAAAAAACTGGATAACTTTTAAGCTCTTGTCTCTTCTAATCCTCTTCTCTTGATAGGACAGGGGGAGGAAAGACGGGAAGGAAGATTTTAAGATTTGTGGACAAAATCGCCAAAACCAAGTGCTTCCAGCGAGCTGCGGAGAGCGAGTTCATCAAGAAGAAGTTTGAGGAGATGTCCAACACCCCACTGCTGCTCTCTGTGGAGGTTCGAGAACTGTCTGGCACGCTGGTTGTGAACATCCCAGCGCCCCCAACAGACAGGATCTGGTAGGAACTTAGATGCAGATGGAGCAGAGGGACAGAGAGGGTTGGAGGAGCATAAGGCAGAATGGATCTAAACCATTAACTTTTCATTCATAAAAATTAATTATGAAGGTGTCCTGAACAGCTTGAATGAAGGAAGTGCCTCTTCCCCCTCAAAGGATCAGTCACTGTATTCTATTTAAACTCTGCATGATTTTCAGCATGTTTTTATAGACAGGTTTAACTGCCCTGGGTCATGATTGCAATGTTTCTAGTAAAGAGAGGGTTTGCTTTAAAAGAAAGAAAAGCATTCAAAATAAAACATGTAATCTCTGTAAAATGTTCCTTAAGGAAGGGAGAAAAAAAGCTAATTAATGTTTGTGCCACATAACGAGTCAATAGAACTGAGACAGATTTAGAAACTTCAGGATGAAGCCAGCCGCTGGTAAAACATTATTAAAATTCAATAACTAACATAGACTATAAATCTAGATTAGCTGGTTCCATTGTTCCGTGGATGGCTCAGAACTAAATCGTTCAGTTACCATCTTTAAAACAGCTCCACTTCCTTCGTAACAGTTTGTGTTTTATGAACATTTAAGCAGTATCTAGTTTCTATTAGTAGCTTTATTACTCCCACTCTGTGGTTAAAGCTGTTTGTGAATATCTACCCAGGAAACAAAGCTTGGAGGCAGTGCCACTTTTTGGCTGTGTGAAACATATTCTAAAAATAGTTTCAAAGTAAAAGGGAAAAATAAAAATAAAATTAACAAAATCTAAAGGGTGCTTGTTTTATTTTACTGCCTCTCCTTTCACTTTTGTGGTTAATTTAACTCTTGCCAACTCTTATCTCCTATCTGTATGTCCACCCCCATTTACAACCTGTCAGCTGTCGCCATAAACCTCAGACATGTTTGGTCAAGACATCAATAGACGAGTATAGGAAAGAGGAAAAGAAAGAGACCAAGGAATAAGTTGATTGATTAAATGAGCAAAAACGCAATGTCATTTTAACACCAGTAATTCATTTAAATGCATGATTAAAGTGCATGCTTTGGTAATTTGTTGAACTTCTCTGCTTTCTCAAAAAGCTCAGTAGACAGGTCCACTCTGTCCACCTCCTGTCCACCTCATCAGCGTTCTGACCAACCGTGTAACCAGAACTTTGCACAAGTGATCTGAGAGGTGCAGATAGGAAAGAAACAGGACATTTGGCTTGTTAAACTATTGGAGAAAAGAAGAATGTAAAATAGCATTATTGTACACGCAGTTATTTACTGCTGAAGCAACAATAAACTTCTTTAAACAAACGAAGATTATGAAAATTATGAATTCAGAAGGAACAGAGATATAGAAATGGACTTATGATCATCCTGTTTTTATTGTCCTGTAGAAATTGTACAGACTTTGGTGGTGTTCAGTGGTGCTTCCAGAAATGTTTTTAATGGTGGCCAGATAGGGGCCACTAAAAATCTGGGGGTGGAAACTGAAAATAAAAGCCATAATTTCAGTGTTTGAATCTAGAAGTGTGGTAAACCTGTCTGTAGAAATCTGAAAGATTTAAGTGAACACATACTCATATCTTGGTTTATTGTGTGATTTTAATGTTACGTTGCTGGCTGCGCATAATGGGTTGAAATGCTAAACTGATGCTACTACAATTAACACTGTCGAGTGGGTTTGCCTGTGGAGTGGCCAGAGCATTACACAGGGTAGCTGCGGCCACTTCTGGCCACCCCCTGGTGGTGCTACTGAAGGTGCTTTTTCCGAGCTTATGTCTATATCCATTAAATTAATACAGCAAGTTTTTTTTTTCCTTTTTTATATACATCACATTTTGTATATATTTGCGTGTTTTCACAAAACTATTTTAGTGGACCTCAGGGCACCGATTGGGAAGGGCCCATAGATTCGAAAATGTTCTGATTCAATGAAACCAACCATCTTGGTGTCCATCTACTGCAGTCTTTGGGCAAAAAAATTGGGTCCATGCAGGACAGCTCACCAGCCCATCAAAATTTTTTATTTTTTATTTTTCTTTTATAACCCAGTGTTTGTACTTAGTTTCCCTAAAAATACAAAACAATTTCTCATGAAGCTGATATCTTGTATCATCCAGTCTCTATCTGTAGGGGAGTGAAATATCCACTGCTCTTCAGCTTTGAGGGCATTTTCCCTGGTTTTTAATTTGATAGATATTTTCTCCTTTATAAAAACGTTTTTCCTTAATAATAAATCCTGTGTTTTTCCTACTTTCTAGCCTAAAACCACATTTTTAATTCTTCATTCCCTTTAATTCAGTGCAGTTGGTCAGGTTTAGAGTTGTACCTCAATCTTGCTGAACAGATCAAAAACTAGCCCTGAGTTTTTCACACTGTTTTTCTCCTTTGAAGGTACAGCTTCTGTGTTCCACCCAAACTGGATCTGCATGTGTGTCCTAAACTTGGAGAGCGAGAGTTGAGCTTTTGCCATGTCACTGAGTGGATAGAGAAGAAACTTCAGGATGAGTTCCAGGTAATTATCAATATAATCCATTTTTTATCCAGAAAAAGCCAAATTTCATGTTTCTTCAGACCTGCCTCCCTTTTGCTGCTTAGAAAGTGTTTGTGCTGCCAAACATGGATGACATTTACTTACCACTGATGCACTCTGGGATGGATAATCTGAACGCTTGCAAGTCCCCCAACTCCTCCTCGGAGTCCGTAGAGAAGATCCAGCATGAAACTGGTGTGAAGCAGTCTAACTAGTGCCTAACTGTTGATGAGCAGAAGAAAAGGCTTGAATACACGTCCTTACAGCCCATGTTTTGATGTCTGAACCAGGAGTTTTTAAGGTTCCAGCACTCAGGACTGTAGATGTTCAGATGTTCACTGTTAAAGTGAAAACCTGGTTTAGGAAAATGAAGTATTGACAGTAAAATATAAGTGATACGTTAAGAACAAGTTTACAGTAGACAATCAGCAAAATGTTTTGTTCATTTATTGATTGAATATAGCTGAATATTGTCTTTTATTGTCAAATAAAAGTTTGAAAAAAATATGTGGGTATTCATTCTTCCATTTTAGTCACACAGAGGCTATTATTATATGAACAAAAGATGTAATAAATTCCTGCATAATGCAACTCATTATTTGTGCATAGAACCATTAATATAGAAAATTAAACATCACTTTGACGAGGCATGTTTATGTGTTCAACATCGTTCTAGATGGGCTCTGGAGAGACAAATAATACAGAAATAAAGATCAAGGCTTCATCATAATGTAGACAGAAATAAAGAGTAAAGTTAGAATTTAAAAAGGTAAATATCTTGTAGCTCTGGAGTACTTCAGTCCAAGGACTCCAAAATGCTTCACACTACATTGAAAGCATTCCCACACTAAGCTACATGCTGGTGAAGATTTTCAGTCATCCAGGTCATAGTTATTCCGAAATTAAGGAAGCTTTTTCAATTCAAAATGTCAGGAATAGCGTTGAGTTCTAGCTTTGCTATTCCTGACATTTTGAATTGAAAAAGCTTCCTGGATGGGAAGCGAAACATCTTCAAACTTTTAAACAAAGTCAAGTGGATTATTCAATTTCCTTTTTTTGGACACTAGCTACATTTTGGCATGAGGCTGACCTGACCACCGACAGGAAAGGCTGGTGAAATGACACAGGAAAATGATAATTTACTATATTTACTGACAAAATTACAGACTTAAATGACTCTTAGCATATTTAACCCACTCCCTATAATCTACAGCAAATATTTTTTTTAATCAAAGCAACAACTTTACATTTGAGGATCTATATACATGATGTTTTTTTTTACCTCTATATTTCATTTGGAGTTAGCCTGACCAGTAAAATGAACCAATAGAACAACAGTTCCTCTGCGGAGAATATAAAAGTAGCTTGATGTTATGAAGCTGTAACTGTGGACATGACAGAGAGCCTAATGCATGAAAATCAGCCATGTGAGAAAAAACTGAGATTGTGTGATCATGTGCAGACAGTGTGTGAATGTGACCAATATGACTCAGTGGGATGCTGCTGAATTATTTGCAGAGCATCTCATTAAACATGCTCCAGGTTTGTGTTAGCTTATGTTATCAACAGGAAGATATATTTCTGTTGATAGAATAACATTTACGGTCAGTTTAAATGCCAGCACAGCTGATCAAAATCCTGGAAAATTTTCTATAATTCACTATCCAGAACCACATGGAATTCTGGGAGATGTAGGCAGAGGAAAAGATATAGCCACTTTAACTTTTTACAGTCACATTTAACAGGGTTGACCTATTTTTAAAGGTTATGTTTACTTAATGGTTAGATTACAAATTCAATTTTGGATATTTTTACCCTGATCCTCATTCTAACAGTTAAACATATTCTCATTAATGATTGTTGATATCAAGTGATAAAAAAACACTTTAATCGTGATACATCTTTAAGCCATATTACAATGCCTTAAACATTTATTTCCACCTTAGAGGCAGTGGTGAAAGAGTGAACGATCCATCATTAGTGAGTTTTCCCCTTTGCCAGCAGCCTCAGCTGCATCATGACTTTGGGTTCTGTCCATCTCATGTTTCCAAGAAGTGAAATCTGAAAAGAGGAATATCTCTAATTATCCAAAGGTCCTTTTGACTTATCATGTAATCAGAACATTCTGCAAAAATACTTTCAACCACTAGATGTCAGTAAAACTCAGGACATTGCAGGGACATCTGCAGCAATGAAAGAAAAGCAATCATTTTGATATAATAATGCTTCTGCAGAGGTGTTGTTATGTTCACACAGGGAGAATCTGCCATAAAGGCCGGGTAGGCAACTGCCTGAGCCCTCCTAGCAGAGAGGGGCCAAACAGAAAGGGCCCCTCCTGGTTGTCCACCTCCCTAATATGCTGGGGAAGGTTCTCAGTCATCCAGGTCATAGTTATTCCAAAAAAAGAAAATTGCAAACAATCCATTGGACTTTTTTTTTCCAAGTTTGAAGAGATCCAGGATACTTTTTCAAATCAAAATGTCAGGAATAGCATTGAGTTTGAGGTTTTAGTAGCTAGTATAAAACCTGTATAAAACTCAACACTGTTTATAGAAAGAAAAGTTCTATAAAAAAAAAATCATGAAGACATGCAAGACAGCCAGCATTCATCTAAATACTCCTGAGATCAGATCTCAGCATGTTACATGCTAATTTAAAGGGCTGTCAGGAGAAAACCTCTCTCCTCTAAAACAATATAACAGGACAGCTTAGGCTGCAATGTTGCACCTGATGGATTCTGGAGACCTCTGGAGAATATTAATGAACCATGAAAACCAAACACAGAAAATGATCTCAGATACATCCTGAGGAACAATCATTTGGTTTTAAATCTGAAAACCTTCCGCCACTATGGATAACTATTCAAGGACTCTTAAGTTTTCACGCCCTTTGATTTTAAACAAAAGAAACAAATCACACCATGGGTTTATAAACCAGCTGTGTTTATATTTCAGTTTCCTGAAAATAAAACCAGTCATCAGAAACCAATCTGAAACAAGAGACTGAAGGAGTGTGTGCAGGTGACCCAGAGGGATGAAAACAGACCGTGACTCAGGACGTAATGACTTACAGTTAGTGACCCAACCCACCTGCATGCCTGCACTGCCATGGTTTAACACCGCTGCCCTATCTATCTGTAAACTGGCTGCATCTCCAGGAGCATCCTGGGTTTTAACGCTGGAGCGGGAAGTAAATCAGGATCAGTGCTGAAGAACCAGCATTAGATACTGGGAAGCAGAAATGGCTCTGCTTCATTGGATTAACTGGTATTGTTGAAGCTGTGCAGATCTAAAGCTGAATGAGTGAACTATTTGTTTTCTATCACCTCTATGGAGGGATGTTAGGTTTAGCCTTTCATCTCAAAAAAGAGGAAATTTGCATTCAGTGGGTTTACTGGAAAGGAAAATCTTTCCTCCTCATGTTTCTCCTGCTAAGAAGCAGCCTTCTGGTTTCTCTTCAACCAAGTAACACTTTCACACCCGTGGCAACAGTGCAACTCTCTGTGTTATACTGACAGCTTTTCAAGTTTGTCACTTCATTCACTTATCAGGAAAACATTCCTGTGATGAGACTTTTATTGAAGGTTTCTGGAAACCAAAAAAGTGACACATTCAATTACCTCTGGGGATGAGAAGACCAGGGAAGGAAACATGGAATTAAAATTTGGCTTGTCTAAGAACGGCATCTGGTTGACTAAATATTTTTAATTATTAGTAAATATTACTGTAAGTGCGGAAAAAGTGGAACCCTGAGTGACTCTAGTCTGTCTAAAGCAATAAGCTGGAGAAATGCTGCAGAACAGGAAAAGTGCAGGGCAACAGAAAACCTGCAGAAGTTTGTGCAATAATACAATAAATGTGTAAACTTTGTTTGTCAGCATGGTGGTGAAGTGGCTTTAGAACAGTGCTAGATGCAGTTGTGTTAAAGGTGATCCTAGAACAACTTCAAACTTTCTGTGAATTTCCATCATTCAAAGCCTTCCAGCACCAATCTCCCTAAAAATAAATTAAAATGCAGGAACATTTCTGCATTTGCCATAAATCAGGAAGCAACTTTAACTATCATAAAAGTCATAAAAATCATAAAATTGCTGTATTTACTTTAGGGTGGCTACAAACCATCAAACAAGGTTGATAGACAAGTATAAGGAAATGTGACTCAGAAGTAGAGGGTGGAGAAATGTAGTAGAGATTTCCCTGCAAAGCACCATCTTCCACAACGATTTATCCTCCTTTATCTAGAATTCAAGGTTTTATTAAGGTCCAAAATGACGTCTTGAATGCATGAAAAGATTAAACATATTCATAAGTCTGATTGGACCAGCAAAGCCGTTTCATTGGCAGATCTCCACTTATTATCTCCTAAGCTGATAAGGAATTTAACTGCCAGAGAGCTCCTACTTCCTTTAGAGAACAGCTCAGATAAGTTTGGTTTCACTTGTTTCAGGTATTAAAGAGGAGCTCAGCCAGTAGAGAGAGACTGCTGCAAATTTTTTATAAAGTGCATTTTATATTTGATCTCTGTATAAAATAATTTTTTTTCTTAGATGACAAACATTAGTTCAATGCACAGCTGCTGCAGTCATAAACACACTGCAGTTCAATTTCCATCATGTTTTTAAGCCCTTTATAAAAAAAAAAATACACAAAGTTTCATGAACCTTTGAGCTGCTATAAAAGCCGCCTTGATCTTAAAAACTGTAAATTAAACTAAGAAAAGCAAACATTATCAATTCACTGATGCTTTCATTTGCATCATATTAAAAGAAATCTTTATTCTATGACAAATATTTACTGGTTTCTAAATCGTTTTGGAGAAGCTCAGCCAGCAGAAAAAGTTTTTAGCACCTTTTCCAAAAAAGCCAGTTTGTTTTCATTTTTATCCTAACTAGGGCTGCAACTAACGATTATTTTGCAAATCAATTCATCTGTCAAATTCTTTCTACTAACTGGTTAATAATCAGGTAGCCAAAGGTTCCTTGATCAAATATTTTTTATTAAATTAAAGCAGGTGAAACTAGAATGTTTCCACTTGAGTGGTTCTGGATAGAGCATATTGATAGGCAAAAAAGTTTTTTAAATGCAAATGTTTATACAATTTTTATCATTTTGATATAATTGCTGCTCCAAGTAGGTCGCCCTGTCAGCTAAATGCATGTTTTAGAATCTCTATACTCCAGTTAACAATTAATCGATTACTAAATTTGTTCACAATTATTTCAATAATCGATTAATCATGATTAATCTGATCAATTGTTCCAGCTCTAGTCTGTACAAATGTTTATTTTCTAAAATGAGTCATTGCTGATCTCCTTAGGATAGTTAAAGTGTGATAAAAGATGTTATGAAATATGGAATGTGTGAAACTAAAGGCTGCAATGGTTCAATGCAAAGCTGCTGCATTCACTAACAC